CCCCCCCCCAAAATCTGGAATGGTCTTCTCACAGATACCTACATGACTCACTCATCTTCCTCAGTTTCTGCTATGCCAAGTATCTTCCTGGAGAGGTCCCTGAGTACCTTGCATAAAACAGCAATGCTCCCCCGACCAGGACTCCTATTACCCTTACTTGGCTTCACCACCACCTACCATATATATTCTATTTGCTTACTGCCTGCCCTCTTACTCTACACTGTAAGCTCTGTGAAGGCAGAGATTTGGCATTTATTAACTACTATATATTGTCCCTCTTTATATTGTTCCTGGCACACAGTAGAGGCTTAATATTCTGTTGAATAAATAAAGATCTAACTGGTAGGGTTTTTAGTTTGGATCTCCTTGGTATCTCTACAAGCCAGACTTTGCTTCCCCCAAACTCCAATATTTGTCACTTAACCAAATGCCACTTAGAAAAAATCTTGGCCTTCTCTCAAACATGTTGGGCAAAATAAATGCACCTTAGGGACCAGGCTTGAGTTTTCTAATGACCTCAGACATCTAGGGAATTGCTTGGAGGAAGCAGCTTACTGTACTTACATCATTTTCCCCACGTCTTTTAACAAATCCGATTTCAAAAACAAGGATAAAAGGCTTATGATTTATTTCAGTTGGAAAAAGATTTCAGTAACTGGATGACTCCTGTGGATGAGCAACAGAAAACTTCTAGGTATCTAGGTTTTGGCAAATGCCCTAGGCTTTAAGCAATATTAATGGCAACAGTTCCATTACCAAGATTCAGAAAGTTTGTGCAGGTGGTGGGGGTACACGGGCTGTTCTAAACACAATCTGACTTAACTGCCTGCCAGCTGAAAACCTGGCAAAGTAAGAGTGAGCTGCAGAGCCCAAGACTCCAAGGTGTGAAAGAGAAGTCTGAGCATTTAGGAATTGTCCCCACTGTAACAAATGCTTCAGAAGTCACCTGTGAGTTGGGAGCACTCATACAACAATGCTAAATGAAACATTAATACTAAATACTAAAAATACTGTAGATTTGTAAAAATACAAATACTATAAAAGTGATGCAAATACTAAATTCTGACACAAAGAGTTCATGATATGATAGCAATATGAAATGACACAACATTAAATGATATACAAAGCACCTCTTTGATCTTGCCCCTGAGAGGGAAAAGTGCCTGGAAGTGAGAACACTGCAGAGGAATGGCCGGAGGTCCACTCTGCTCGGCCCAGGAAGAGATGGTTATAGGAGCAGCCTCACTGGCAGGAGAGAAAGAGAGATGGGATGGAGCCTGTGTTAGAAAAAGTAATCACACAGGTCCCCCACCAGCTGAGAAGAGAAAGGCAACAGAGCTTTTACTGAAGCTTGTGCACAACTCCCAGAGTTTTCCAAAATTATCTAAAGCTAAAACTTTAGCTTTCTGAAGTCATTCATCGGTTTATGTCACTCATTAAATAAGTCGACTGATTAGTTAACATGATAACTAACCCTCAATTCTGGGGATCAGAGTATGCCTCCCTGTGAGGAGGGCAGAAGGCCTGATGGTGAAATGAAATGCCAAGGAGCTCAAAGGACCACGGTTAGGTCGTCCTCCCAGATGGTAATACACACCAACACTGGCACCATTCTGGGCTCTGTGAACAGGAAGTTAGATGCCAAAAAGGACTTTGAGGTCAGCCAAGGTGAGCTTGGTGACAGATTCTCCAGATCCTGATAGAATCTGTCTAGCCAAATCTTTCTTTTTCTCTTGGAGCTGCAAGATCTTCTCTTCCACTGTTTCTTCACAAACAAATCTAAAAGCAGACAAGCAAACAATGAGAAACCCAAGGCAGCATATCCAATAACATGTTCAAACTTCTACTTAAGCTTTAGTTTTAAATGAGGTTTCTTCCTTTATTTAAGCTTTCTTAGGTTCGGTTAAGAACTCTAAGTGTAGGCAATCCAAACAACCCCGACTAAATATATGTCCATTTAAAATGATGTGACTCAAATTGAGTTTTTCTTTCTTTCTGAAGCTAAGGTAATTGAGAAATGCCAAAATAAGCAAAAGATATCACTGCCCAAAAAAGCGTAGAGAGTCAGCTTTTACACAAAAAGCTCCATCATGATAAGACCAGAAGGCCTTGAAGTTTATCAAGTTTCTGCCAGGTATGTGTGCTGGTTTAAAAACAGAGTATCTTATTTCTGGGCGAATTCACACTGAAAACAGGTTTTACAAACTGAGGAAATGTCACTGTTGTCACTCAATCCCTCATCCACTACTGATTAAGCATTCACTATACACCACGTACTACGTTAAGTGTGTATAGATTAATATAGTCTTGCTCTCAAAGAAAACACGAGAAAAACAAACAATGATACCACCAAGTAAGTGCTACGATGGAAGTATGTGCAGTGTGCAAAGGGAGCAGGAGGAAATCTGTCGAGTAAGAGTGAACTCTTCCTGTGTGACCTGGAGGGAGAGTGAGGGCTTGCCAGATGGAAGGGGTTTGCACGAAAGCTACACTTGGGAAGGGTCCTAGGTCCTGGGAGACCTTTACTTGCCTGTGGATGACGACGTCATTCTGCTGCCCTACTCGGTAAATTCGGTCGCAAGCTTGATCTTCAAGTGATGGGTTCCTGGCAGAAGAGAGGTAAAGCTCAAAGGTACTGCCATCCCGGGTTAGGGGCGGCTACTCCATAGGCAGATCCAGCCCACAGCCTGTCTTTGGTATGGCTCGTTAGCTACAAATGGTGGTTACATTTTTAAAGGGTTGTAAAAACAAACAAAATCCAACAATGAAAAATATGCGAGAGACCTGTGCAGCCTGCAAAGCCTAAAGTAATTACAGAAAAAGTTTGCAGATCCCCTGTTCTAGGCTATACTGGCCTCAGAAAGTTGAGTGTCAGACATTTTCCTGCCCTCTAATGAGCAACTGGGGTCACTGCTAACAGTAACTCGGCACTATCATCAGGTCACAACTGTAAGTAACAGGTGAAACCATCGTTCAAATTCAGTCACTAACTAGCTGGGTGATCCTGGGCAAGTCATCTAACCTCAACCCTCTACATTTCAGATTGCTAGTTGTAAATGTGAGAGCTGGCTAAGGAACTTCATTACCTTTTTCAATTTCCCTATTCTGTGATTCAACTAAGGAAACAATTTGTTTCCTTCTTTAAGATTCTTATTCTCAACTCCAAACTAGTCTCTCTTCTTACTGCTTTAAAATCTTCCACATTTCTCCATTTCAGAAAATAGCATAATTCCCAGTCTGCCTTCCTCACTCACTCACACGTATGGGGGTGTCCCACGTTCTAAGACTTGAACACAGTCTCCAGGGTGATAGTAGCAGCTGGGCTGCTGGAGAATTAGACCCATGTGTGGCAGTCCCTGACTGGCACAACTGGAAAACCAAAAGCTGGGACTATGACACTTTCTTCAGAAAAGGCGCTATTACACTCCGGTGCTGACACTATGGGGGAGGCCAGGGTGACATGTAAAGTGTATTCCTATCATCATTAGAAAATTCCTCCCTCATTCCTTTCAGAGTAACACTGCTCCCTCTTTTCCAGGGTTGAGAGTTCCCTGGATGTCAACAAATATGTCTGAAATGGGGTATTTTGAAGAGGTAGAACTGAGGGAAGGAGCTCTTAGCCATGAGAAAAAGCCCTGCTCCCAGTTTCCATGGAAACAGACGTTAGAATAACAATAAAGTGAAGGGACTATTTTCAGTGGCATCTGAAGCCTTGGTTGCTCAGGAATTGGAGGCTGTCAACCAGCCCCAGGCCAGGTTTAGATCTGCATCTCCACAGGCCTGTGCAGAGATATCTCCCTAACACCGGAGCAGAGCCAACAAGGAAGAGAGGCCCCGATGCCCCTCCAGCCTGCTGGTCCCCTGCTCCACCATGAAACTCAAGAAAGATCCAGAATCGTTACCAGTGCATATCCAGAAGAAAAAGATGGTTCCCTCCAGTCAGGTTTAGACCAACACCTCCAGCCAAAAGCGAGATCAGCATGACCTTCAAAAGAAAGCACACCGTTAACTTCCTATAATACACCTCTCCTCTGGTCTCAGGTTCAAACCCAACATCAATACAGAGAAGCACCATGTTCCTACCCAATTTCCTTCTGCTGTCAGAAATGCACTATTTTGAAACTCTAAGATGCCCCACCTTTGAGAAAATTCTCACTTCACATATTTTTGGTGAGTGAATCCCAAAACACTCGTGTGTCTGCCAAAATATACAAATACTACACTCCAGAGGACTGGGGGTGGTTAGCGCAATACACTTTCCTTTAACCAGATTCTGTCTGTGCCATCAGTCGCTGCGTCACCAAGCACCGCTGCTGTGTTCCTCCTGCCCGTCACTCACCGACACCTTCCAAATTCTTATTATCCGTCACTAGACGCCTTCATTCTTCACGTCCCCCCCATGTCCTCGTATCCAAATTCCACACGTTCAAGACTTTCCTGCTCCACAAAGATTCTCCTCCTACCCACTCTGCTCACTCTCCTTCAGCTCTCATATTTTACTCTCTTTGTGGAACTTGCATACTTTGAAATGTACCCTATAAGTGTCTCATAAATTAAAAAGACCTGCAGGGATCAAAGCTATGAATATTAAATTGAGGTGCTACATTAGAATTCTCTGTATAACTGGGAAAATTTTGCTCTGAATTCTGTAACTCTGATGTGACCAGCTCGTACCTGAGGGCCCCTGGAGTTGTTAAATGCCTCTACCAAATCCATTCTCTGTTTGGGGCTGACAGAGCCGTCGATGGTGGCGTAAGTCAGTCTGTGCCTCCGCAGGTGCAACGCTACAACCTTCAGCATGCTGGTCCACTGAGAGACAATGACACTGGAAGGAGGGAAAACAACCAACCCAGCCCCCAAGCGGTTAAACTCATGTGCAGGGCAGTTGTGCCCCTATAAGTCTTAAGATTCAGTTGTCAAATGTGGGTGAGGAAAGGCCTTCTGTTACCTAAGGGGGCGAGGGACACACTTAGGTCATGTTTTAAGATTATAATGTGGATAAATAAATCGTGACATTTTTTAAAAGATTATAATGCTCCCAGTTGTTTCCGAATCCAGCCTATGATGTATCTGGTGCTAACGGAAGTCAGGATAAAGTGGTGACTAGACTAAAGCAAGATTTGCAGCCTCCTATCATTCTGGGGTCGAGTGTTCACCCAGAGGAGCTCTGTGGTCCTGCAGAAAAGGGTCTCAGACCACCCTCCCTTGCCAGTCCTAATAACAAGCTGCTAGGACTTTTCTGCTCCCCTCACCCAACCCCTCCATGCTGTTTTAATTTTTTAGATCAAAATATTTCATATATACAGATTTATAACATACATATAAGTTGTAACAAACAACAAATGGACTCCCTGTCTGCTCACACAGCTCTCCCTTTTGTATCCATTACTCCCTTGCTTGTCTTCAGATAATTTTCTACTTTTAAACATTTCTTCAAAGGCTTAGCCTACTCTGATCCTCTAGGGGTTTTTTTTCATCAGAGCCACAAACATTTTAATTAGAAATCACAGGGAGGTTGTGCTATAACCTCAGTGCTCTCTGCTAAGCATGACTCAAGGTCCTTGATATAAAAAGCTGAGATTTATAACTATCAGCAATACCAAATTTTCTTGCTTAATTACAAGTAATACTCGAATAATGAAATAACACATTTACCTCTTTTGAGATCCGGAATTTCTTTGGATCGCCTCCAGCTCTGCCAACAGAGATGAAATCTGGAAAAGGTTACATTAACACATGTAGGCTTAAGCCCTTTTCTCCATTATATCTCCCCAGAACCACTGAAGCAGGACCGTGGGTGGCCTCTGCCTCTGGTCTGACCCTTCTCTGCTCCACTCTGCTCTCTGCAGCCAGACAGCTATTTCAACAATGTCAGTGTGTCCCTTTCCTCCCTGCCTCAAGCCCCTTGAGGGGCTTCCCACTGAGGATCAAGCCCAAGCTCTGCACCATGATCCCTGCTGCTCTGGCCTCTGCTTCCATCTCCAGCTTCGTCTCTCACTACGCCCTCCTCAGTCAACACTCATCACACCGAAGTTCTTCCTCCACCAAGCCATGCTCTGTCTCATCTCCATCCATTCTGTTCCCCTGCCGAGGACACCCTTACATGTCAGCTTAATGTCACTTTTACTGGAGGTATTCCGTAGCCCCCAAAGTATGGGTTAGGGGCCCACCGCCCACCTGCTACTACAGCACGTTCTGCTCTGATCGCCTGGTCTTTCACACTATGTAGTGACTGCTTATTTAATCATCTTTGCTTCCATGACTTGAGATTCTCCAAGAAGGCAGAGCCAGCATGTGTCTGGTCACTTCCGTACCCCTGGCACTGAGCACATTACTAGCCCAGAGAAGGTCCCGTCCTAACATCTGTGGAAGGAGAATGTGGAAGCACTTCCCCAGCTGGAGGCCTCTCCAAATGTTGAAGAGGATGTGTCCAGACTGCAGCACTTGCTAAAGCTTCCAGGCAAGCTCTCTGATTTTACCAACACCCCTCAGGACACAGCCACGTCCACAGGGGACCGGTCAGCAGGAACACACGGGCCTGACTTCGGACGGCAGCTGCGTTCATTCCTTCTGACTGCTAATGCGGACGACCTTTCAAAAGCCCCTGAAGGGCCCCAGCGTTCATCCCCAGAATGGGGGAGGAGGGAGGAAATTGGACCAGGAATAGGGAAACTAAGTTCTTACTCTGCCATCACGTGACTGTATCACTTCAGAACTCCCAGTAAGGAGTTCAGACTCATCAGAAAACATGGGGCTGAGCCAGAAGATCTCTGAGGTCCCTCAGCCCCCACACTCCACACTATTGCTACAGCGGCTCCTGTAGAGGCCCCGCACGCGCGGCTGCTTCCCAGTCTGAAGCAGCAGGCCGATGCCAGGCGGGAAGCGAGTCCCAGGGCTGCACCATTTTCAATTAGTAGGAAGGAAAGAGCAGGTACATGAATTGCGTGGTATCTTGGCAACTCAAGGTTCTGGGAAGTGCTCTGATTGTCACATGAAAAGAATGGTGACAAGTATTTTGAGAAACTGTAGTGAGAGAGCAGGATTCATGGTCCATGTGCTGGGGTCAAATCCCAGTAACATCCTGCCTAAGCTTAGGTTTATGTTACTAAAGAAAACTCCCTTCCCTTCATAAAACAGCCTTGAGTGGTGTGAACTACTATTAATGGGCTTACAGTAATTAAGCCTTGTGAATAAATATCACCTGAGTATTAGACAAGGAACATGAATTATTAGGAATATAAGTTTTAACCCAAAGGCTAACTTTGAAGGCACCAGAACAGGAAGTCTGGCCACATATGTTGCTCTTATGATTCTCTCAGTTATTAGTGGTAAAGAGCTAGGAAAATATTTTAAAATTTTAATGAAAAGTATTCTCCAGTAATACCGTTCCCTTGGCAGTGACCTCCTTTCTAGTTATTTTTTAAAAAGCCTTTGAAGAAAGGCCGAGGCTAGGACTGGGCTGGGGATGAAAGGCAGGACTCGAGCTGCAGTGTATCTCAGCCTCCTCTAACAGCTCTCCAGCCCTAAAGAGCTCTAGCGGGTAGAGCAGAATGACTGATGAAGATAGAGGGCTGTGTAGGAAACACTCCGCGCAGATGGGAGCCTTTCAACAAGTCAAAGCGATTGGCACGCAGGTGCATTAACAGCCTCTGAGGTCCACCTTTTGTTGTTTTCCATTAGAGCTTTCCTGAAACAAACTGCTTGCTCACTGCAGCCCTCTCCTGGCATAAACCTGATAGGCTCTGTTCCCAGTAACCCCTGACGGAAAAGCTGCCTTCGTGCCGGGCTGGCCCGAGTCACTCTCCGAAAGCCCACTGAGTAACTGCAGTTCTATTTGCGAAATAAAATTAGAATGTAAGCCTGGAGGGAGAGTTTGATCAGCTGAAATCGAACAGTTCTAGCTCTGCCATCAAAGGACTGTCCCCTCTTGGATAAATGTGTGAGGAGCCCAAGTCTGTCCATGAGAAGAGAGGTGACCAAGTACCTTGGTGCTCTCTCTCGTGTCTTCAAAAAGCTCCGCCGGGAAGCACTCGCCATTCAGGGAAACAGTGGAAGCTGGCTCTGAGTTCTGGAGTTCGGACAAGGTCAAAGCGTTGAGCTGGTCCTCCAGGGAAAGGAGCAGGCCTTCGCTCTTCAGCTCTGTCGGATCCAGGGCCTGAGCAGAAGACAGACGGGACGGGAGCCGGTGGGCTCTCGAAGGAGCGAGACTCAGGATTTGCCAGTGAAGTGCTGCCTGTTAACACTCCACACAGCAAAATGTCCTCTAACTGATTGTCAATATCTCCTCAGAGAAACCCTGATTAAAACGTAATCTTGCAAGTTTTTTCACCAGATAAAAGAAATCAAATGATGGAGCTTTTTAGTGACCTGCCAGGCAGATCACATGATCATTCTTTTTCTCCAGCTGGGACAGTCTAGTAAATTAAGCTATTGATAATCAAGATACATAACTCCTCAAAAGAATAAAATACTCCTTTTAACTATGGATGTGCCTCTTTCCAACGTAAAGGCAACTTCTGCAATTGTATAAATACTTGAGTTTTCAACTCGAGTAGACTTAAAAGCCCTAATACTACCTGAAAGCAGGGGAAAAAAGTAACTAAATCAGCTTTATGACATCCTAAAATACCCAAGTATTCATAAATGATTTCCTTTTTAACAAAACAAACAATAAAAACTGTTCTCAACATCATGGGAATTATCAAGATCAATATAAAACAAAGTAAAATAAACAAACACCAAAAACCAAAGACACACACCAAAACCCATTTTCCTTGGTCCAGGAGACTGGATCCCAGATGCAGAAACAGACATGGATTTCCTGGCAGCCCCTCTGGGTACGAAGCTAAAGGCTTTTCTTACCGACTTCAGCAAAGAGAGATGACAGCAACACTGGCGGAGTCTCAGCAACTGTGACAATATGTGGGCGGTGCTGGATTTCTGTGAGTCTGCGGCCACAGAGCGCCCAGGCCCACTGGACCCAAACTCCTGTGCCACTTCAGGAAGGAAAACAAATGAGAGGAAATAGTGAGGGTTTAAAACAGAAAAATATGGGGACGAATCAAGAACTAAATGATGCTATTTTAAAATCCTTTGATCTGAGATTCAATAATATAACATTTCTATTAATATAACATTTCTATTAATATAATAACATAACATAACATTTCTATTAATAAGCCAATGAAATGCTGGTTTTCTTTATAGACCTATTTGTATTTAATAAGCAGATTCTGAAACTAATTAAAAAGAAGTGAAAATCACCAGGACTGCTGCTTACAAATTGGCATATTATACTTTGGTTTGAGGTTCCTAGCTAAGGTCAAGTTTCTGATACCAAGAATCCACAACTTCCCACTGCTGTAATTTTATGAATCTGAATGCACATTGTCATTAGTTACGTAGGAGTGTCCCACTGCTCACCTCTACTGAATGGATTATCAGGGCTTCGTCCAGATTGGCTGTCCCCACCTTCCTGTCTTTTTAGATAGGATTGTAGAGCTGACCTGCCTCAGATAAAAAACAAACCAATAAGCACATACTGTTTGCTACAACCAGATGGGTTTACAATGGTAACCGCTGAACTGTGCTTGCAGTAGTACCTTGGAAAACTATAAAAGGACTTGTTAATGTAACGTAAGGCTCATAGCAAGCATTATTCAAAGGTAACAAAAAATAACTATTAAAAACCCCCAAAACATTTAAAAATGATTGGTAAATAATATATTAACATAAAAATATTAGAATATTTAATATTAACATGTAATATACCGATATGTTGATATTTAGTATAATACAATATTACTGTTATTGACAAATATGAATAAATATAAGGTATACACAGAGAAAAAAACATATTCATGCTCGAAGTGAGAGGTAGTATAAGAGTAAATCTGGAATTCAGGGAAGGAGACGAGTTTTATAGAAAATGCAAACACCCGATGACAAGGATTACGAAACAGGTGTTTTTTTAGGTTCCAATGAGATTCTGGGTAACATGTCAAAGGTCAGAGATGGGATTTTCCAATATGGCCCCCTGAGGACCAGATGATGTGGTGCAGTGACACCCTAGCACTTCTATGCACGGAAGCCAAGGAAAAGCAGGTTCAAGAGCCTTCCATGTGTGAGTGAGACAAAGGTGAGCTGGGGAGGACGTAAGAAGCAAGAAAGGGAGATTATTCTAAAAGGAACACAGATATCCACCTTATCAATAATACCAATAACAGTCTGAGAAAACTTGACCCTCGACTCATTGCCAAGTACAGACAGAAAAGCAATGGCCCATGTGAGAAGGTGCTTCTTCATGGCACACACCTTGATCTTGCAAAAAGGACACTGTAAACCATCTCTTCATCTTCAGAAAGTTTCAAATGGTGCAACTGAAATTTACGCTGGGGCAGCACCACCTGGACAATAAAGGAAAAAGCAGCTGAGATGAAGTTACACAAATTAACTGAATACTACAGGGTAAATTCCCAGAGTTGACACTGGAATCTCGTCAAGCCTGGACTGCTGTGACACAGAGCACAACGGGGCTGCTCTAACACACAGCACAGCAAGACTGCTGCGACACAGACGCAGGACAGCAACCCAGGGCCTCGCCTAGGAAAATGAGAGACTCCGAGCCCCTTGAAGCAAAGCAGATGTCTGCTCAACCCAAGAGAAGGACACGGCCACCATCCTTCCCTGGCCTCCCCAACGGAAACTTATAAATGAGATTACCAAGGGCTTTCCGGTGGAGTCCAGCTGGTCTTTTGTTCTCCGTAGCAAAAGGCTCTTGGTTAAAATACTTAACCGTTCACCTCCTTTCTTTGTATCATTGTCAACCTGGCTCTTCCACAGACTGAACTGGTCAAATGGAGAACAGCGGAGGAACCTTTTTCGGGGAAGGACAGAGAGCAGGAAAGGGGGAGTGTGGGAGGGCAGGGCAAAGGTTCAAAGAAAGATGTCAGATAAAAAACAAATCAGATTCTGCTACATGTCATCCCATCATTTTCAAAAGTGAGTTTCATAGCAAAGCTCTGCTAGACAGATGGAAAACCACATTATAAAACTGTGAACTTTCCCACTAACAATGTCTGTATCGTCACAACAGGACATGAAACCAATAGCTAGAATGTATTCCTGAAGCTTCAAAAGCTAGTAGAGAAATTCCACATTCTCTTATGGGCCGACTCTGATAAAAGCAAGTATGTTAAAATCAGCCCCCTTTTCTGTTTGCTTCAAAGAAATTGCAGTCCTGACCCCAGGTCATAGGCCTTAAAGCAGAAACAGCCCAAGTCATTCACTAGACTGAAGAAGGATGATTTTGTTTCCTTTTAATGTAATCTATCCTATATTTTTCCATATACAGTGGCTGAATGTAATCAAAGTCCTACATCAGCCAATCAATAGATTATTTTTCTCATAAATATTAATTATTCTGCCCTTTAAATGTCGACAGGCTTGCCATCTGCTACAGGAGATAGCCTGGCACACACCAGAACTTTATCATGAGATGTGAAATCATTAGGAAGGGTTACTGACATGGTTCACATTTACACGATCCCAAAGAGTGTACTCACTTTAGCAGTGAATACATGTCCAGCAGGTTGTTCTGAATGGGGGTTCCAGTGACAGCCCAACGGGCATGAGCTTGCAGCTTACACACAGCTATGGAAGTCTGCACTCGGGGGTTCTTAATATTGTGAGCTTCATCCAGGATGATTCGTGCCCAGACTATGCGAAGCAAAGGCGTTGAGATTTCCTGGAAGAAACACCAGTGAAACCCAACGATAGTATGGAAAAATGTTTGTCTTCAAGATCAGGGGAGTAACAAACAAGAACCGAGGCCCCGCTCTTACCTTCAAGTTTGAAGGTACACTGAAATAAGCATGAAGTTTAAGGAACTTTCAGTGGGTACAAATAAACAAGGATTGAGGGCCCCAATCCTTGAGCTCAAGATGCTCAAGGATAAAATGTTTTCTAATCTGAGTTTTCGTTTGTTTTTTCAACCCACTTTTGAGCAGTGGCTATGGGTTGGGTCTATACTAGATACTGAGCCTGCAAATTCACTCAGTCAATAAAACATTTACTAAATTTTACTAAATTTACCAAAAAAGTCTACTTTCATATGTAAATCTACTTTTATATGTAAGATACTAAGCTAGAAAAATGAAAGTTCCTACCCTCAGAAAGCTGACAATCTGGCAGGAGAAAAGCAAGCATCACAGTAACTACAGCACAGCAAGTGCATAGTAAGGACGTGACAGCAGGGTCCAGTCTTGTTCACTGCGTTACCTGCAATACCTGAGCGAGCAGCTCGATGTTTGCTGAGTGAACAGTGCTGTGGCCTAAGCACAGGAGATGCATTTAACCAAACGGGGAGCAAAGCATCCATGTAGCGGGAGAGCAAAGGCACAGCAGCATGACAGAGCTCAGCAGAGCAGCGCAAACCTTGGCACGGCGGAGCAGGAGGGGCCACGGGGGGCTGGGGTGTAGGTGACGAGGGACATGCCAGTAAGGCAAGGTCAAAAAAAGCCTAAAATACCATGTAGAAAAATTAAGGTTTTATCATGAAAGCAATGAGGAACCACTGAAGAATCTGCAAAAAATCAGAGTTGGTTGTAAGATGTCTCCATTCTAGAGATCTCCCCAAATACAGAATCTGTGCACATTCTTTCGTAAAAATATATGTGAAGGACGAGTTCCTGGAACAACACTGTATTTTCAGAGAACAAAAAAGCCGCATAATCACTTATGCAATGAAGCCTCTGCCCTAGACAACTGAGACTCCCCTGAGTGCAGAGCAAACATTCAGGGTTTCTCCCTGGTTATCATTTAGCCTCTGGCCCATCTGTGGCCTTATTATTTCAACCTCTTCTCCTGGAAGATGAAGCAAGGCAAGGAATGATGGCCTAATACCAAAATACTAGTTCTAAAATACCAGTCTTCACACTAAATATAAAACACATCCTAAGAGTATACCCCGGAGGCACTAAAATCATAATTCCAGCAAGTGAGGCCCTCCTATAATCATGTGATGACCACCACAATTGCAATGCAGTTACCACTAGTTCTAAAAAAACAACAGCTATATACTGTGCCAAACCGCGCCCTTTACCACTGAGGAGACTGTCTAGAATAAAAGCCGGGGGACAGAGAGCGCTTTGTTTCCACAGGTGGACCATCTAGGACGCTCCTGACCTCACAGGAGGGTACCTCTGCTCTCTCTGATGCTGAGACAAGACTTGAGTTAAAGGAGGCAGGACTCCACCTCTCCTTCCCAGCCAGCCCCCAGTCTCACCTCTTCACTGAGGTTTGTGCTTGGGGCCAGTCCCTCTTGCTTCTCTGTGGGGATCTCCCTGGCCAGAATGCTGTATGTGGTGATCACGATGTCATATGTAGAGAGGCTGTGTAGACATAACACAAAGCAATGGTAAACGATCCCTCTGTGACTGACGAGAGGCAGAGTTGATCTCTTTATAAAAATTCCTACAGCTGGAGGAACAGAAAGCAGAATTCACTCATCTATGTCCTTCATCAACACACGTGACTCTGGAGAGGTAAACGACTCACTTGGCTTCCTCCACTCTTACCTCTGATCCTTTTTACAGTCAACGCACTATAACTAGAACAGCCTCCCTCCTCCCATCCAGTGAGTCATAAAGGAAAACCAGCCGGGCTGTATTACCCTTGGTACCTGGCCAGTATGGAATGCACAGAGGCGCTGGGCACTAACGTCTAGTAACGATTAGACACAGACAATGCTGAAGTTCCCGGGGAGCAGGTCTCCCATAGCAGCCGCCTCCATCAAGAGCACTCTCCTCGTGCTGCAGTGGACTGGACAAGCCCACTGACCCAGCGGGATGTTTGGCTGTAGTCATGCTGTGAACTCGTAGTTTACCTTGCCTTCACTCTTTACACATAAACATTCTTAATGAAAGGCACAAATCTTTTTCCAAAGAAGCTTAACACTGCCCCTGAGGACATCCATAAATGCCTTTGATAAGTATGATATGCCTAATTCAGAGAGGCAGCGACGACTATATGTGGTCTTAGCATCATGTGAAGTATAACTGAGGAGGATGCCAATCAGTCAGCTAGGACACTCTGAATACCAACCAGCTATGGTCAAAGTGCAAACCCAACGAGGTGCAACTTATTCCTGAACAGAAATCTAGAACAAAGGCAGGCCACTCACAGTACTCTCTGCTGGGGAAGCACGCAGGCCTGCCGCTGCTGCCCTGACACCCTCGGTCTGCTGAAGGGACTCTCAGTCACGAGAGCTGGTGTATATCATAAGTCACCAGTCTGGCACTTTACCCCTGAAAGCCTGCTGCCCTGTTCTTTAGGAGAGAAAATGTTCACTAACAGAGGTTGGGGAGAGAAGAGGATATAACTCTGTTCTTTCTTAACTAGATCAGCAAGTGTTCAACCCAGTCCCTCATATCACAGTGAGGAACAAAAAACCAAATCCTTTAAAGCCGAAAGACAAAGACCACAACATCTGGGGAAATTCTTTCCTCCTCCTCAGGAATTCAGTTTAGTCTAATCCTAAACTCTTGAATCTAAAACTTCTTAGTTCATTCACATACGAAAAACAGTCATAAAAATATAATCAGCTTATATCAACTAACCATTAATACTGTATCAAGATGCTCCATAAGACTGCGCTAGTTCCAGCACTAACAGAGAAAGAACGTGAATTTGGAACCAGAAATTTCCAATCATGCAATACTTGGGACAGAGCCTCTTCTACCAGGGAACGCAGCTGCTGCCGGGCTGCCAGCTCTGGCCTCAGACCTGCTCCCAGGGCAGCATTCTCTGCAGACAGTGGCGAGGATACAGCAAAGGCACAGTTTCTCTCAAGAGTTTCTCCCAATACAGGTGAAGGTGTCTGGTGATGAGAGTACCTCTGGTCTCGACAGTATCATTAGTCCCGATTAAATGAAACCTTAGGGAAGCAGGCGCGGCCAATGTGGCCTCTCAAGCCAAGATCTGAGCACCGCCTAGTGACCGCAATATTTCTGCACTTACACTCTTGCACGCTGATCCCGGTCTGGCCCATGATAGAGACAGACTCTGAGTCTGCTGCGGCTCACACGTTTCTCCACCTCCTTTTTCCAATGATGGATCAGGGAAGCAGGACAGACGACAAGTGTTCCATGGGAAGTAAACTCAGTGGGGTCTCGAGAGGGAAAAAAACCAACACCTCATTACATTCATCATATAGCCTTTAACTTCTTAGAGGCATCACCTTTCTCTCGACTGACTTTATTCCTTCAATCAATACTTTTCACAACTGCGGCTCTTATTTCTACACATAGCTTACAGTGGAACAGGAAGTGAAAGAGATGGCCTTGGAACTCAAAGCACGTAATTACTTAATTTTCCCCTGTAAAGGTGTCAGACAGAGAGGGGCTAAAAGAAGAGGAAAGTGGGCAGTATACAAACTCAATCTAAAAAAAACCCAGCACACTTTTAGTGGCCAGAAGGTAGAAGCTGGATCATATCCTAACTCATCCTGGGCTTTATGGGGGAGTATTATTTTTTTCTGAAAATCATTAACTTGATTACATCTACATTAAAATATAAAACCCCCTAAGATGAGGAAACATGGCTTTAGAACCAGTTAGTGATGGAGTATTTGTCCCACTGCCCCTCATCCATGTGTGTGTGTGTGTGTGTGCATACATGTACATGCATGCACACACAAGCTGCTACTCCACAAAGGGACACAGGATCCAGCTTCAACAGTGGTCTTCAGAGGCCCTGAGAGTAGACGGCTGCCAATTTTTTAACTAACCAACTGAGAAACGTACTGTGTACGTGGCAACTTACATGTGGTGCTGTCGATAAATACGTAAGACTTAAAGTACTTATACAGTCATTGCATTTTTAAAACATATCGAGGTTGAAATAAGATAGAAATTGTCTAGAATCTGGAAACTTCTCGAATTTCAGAAACAGGGAAAACAGCTTCTGCTACGGTGGCTAAAATCTGAGTTTGTGACAGATCCTCCTTAAAAAAAGAATACATTAACTAATATGGATGTATCCTGTAGTTATATCCTAACATTAACAAAAGTAATCATTTTGTTTACACTAAGTCTTCTAGAGCCTTTGCCTTCTCCACAAAATTCTTCTAGTCACAAGTCAAGCTAAGTTTATATTAAAAGAGAAAAATGATCACTTAAATTAGCATATTTGGCATCAGAAATGATACCACAGGAAAGCAGTCTAACACCTGACTTCCAACAGATTAACTAAATATGACCAAAGGTGCACTTCTGTGGCTTAAAGGTCTCCGCCCTGCACTGGCTCAAGTGGTGTAAAAACAGCAGGCACGAAGGCCCTGGATACCGTCTTTGGAAAGCCAAGTCAAGGGCGCGCTGTTGTCCTTTTCTCTGTTTTCCACTCGGTCCTTCTGGGTCAGAATGAGCGCGATCATTGTCAGGGTTTTTCCTAACCCCATATCGTCCGCTGGAAAACAAAAATAAAAACAGGAGAGTTAACTGCTTAGGGCAAAGAATCAACTCAGCTTCAAGAAAAGAAATCTATCCTACTACCTACTTTACTGGTGCTTCCACATTTCTGGAGTACAGTTCACTCAAAACAGTCCTCCATTCCCTCAATTTATCCATCACAGAGGCACAGATTAACATTCCTTAAGAACTGTCACTGCGCCAGTCACTGAACCTATCTAATTTACTATTTATACCCTATAAAATGTTATCCTCGTTTCAACAGTTTAAATAACCATTCTGATATAAGCAGAAGTAAAATGTCACAGCACGAATTCCAGTTCAAATTCTGGCTCTGCTGCTGTGCAGAAAAAGAGGTAACACAATCTTATTACTATTTTTACTTTGTAATACATTATAGCCATGAGTGGGACTATATGCTGTGTGTCCTCCTAGCATATCCTCAAATCTGGAAGTGGTCTTGGGGACCCCAACACAGCCACTTACTAGCCATAGTGGACATCTGTCATGTTTTCTAGAAGTTGAGCACCTTGGAAAATGTACTCTGATGAGCCCCCAAAGCAGAGCCTGAAACACTTGCTTCCCGGGCTCCCCTGCAGAAGGCATTGGCAACCTGACCTGGCTCCACAGACCACGTGTACTCACTTATGACCAAGATTCAGAGGTAAGCAACCTAAGAAAAGAGTCTTGCTAAGAAATCCTTTCTGCAGGAAGGGGTGGACACAGGAGGGTCAGATTTTGGGGTGGCAGTGCCCGATGGAACAAGGCAGCTGAGAGAGTTTCCACAAAACACTGGCTTATGACTTGGCTTTGGCCATTGCTCCTGGAAGTGTGGCCTCCCATCTGGCTCTGCACACCCCCGAGAGGCTCTGTGGGCCGCCACAGAATAAAGCGTCTCTGCTTAATACGCCAGGGTCAGCTTCTCCTGCTTGCAGCCAGGCCCCGACTGGTCCTACAGCTGAGGATCCTAAGCATCTTGCTCAGCCATTCTTAAGCCCCGTTTCCTCATCCGTAAAAGGAGGCAACAATCCCAGAGTTGCTGAGAGGGACAAATGAAACAATACAATATCACTGTCAGCTCTTCCCACCATACCAGACTTACCCAGAATTCCTCCTTGTGGCTTCTGACTTTCTCGCCACAGTAGCCAGGCTAATGCCTGCTTTTGGTGCAGTAGCAAAGGGACCTGACAAAAGTAATGATGAGAAGTTATGTACAAATTCCTCAGGAGAGGCTGTGCCGGATCCTGCCTACAGGGACGCCACATTCTACTTTTATTTTCTGTAAGTGATCCCCCCAATATTCTAGGTGTCATATAAGCTGCCTTTTTACCCTGAAGTCCTTGACTCCACCAAGTCACCTAGGGTATCCCAACGTCCTGGTGTGCCCATGAGAGAGTGATTTATGCCTTTGTCCAGCATGTCCACCAAGGGCCTCCTCTCTCACCCTCAAGTCAAAGTCCTGGTTTGTCTGCTTAATCAGCCAAAGCTGGTTTCTACTGCTTGCAACCAGCACCTCTGACTGGTCACCCTGCTTTCACCAGCCATTCTGTTGGCTTTTCCTTATTATCTCTCTTTTTTAAAATACACCTTTATTGATTTCAGAGAGAGGAAGGGAGAGGGAGAGAGAGAGAGAAACATCAGTGATGAGAGAGTCACTGATGAGCTGCCTCCTGCGCGCCCCCTACTGAGGATCGGGCCCGCAACCCGGGCCTGTGCCCTGACCCGGAATCGAACTACAATCTCCTGGATCCTAGGTCGATGCTCAACCGCTGAGCCACGCTGGGGAGGCTACACGGATTTTAAGTATAAGTGGATCCACGCAGTTCAAACCTTGCTGTTCAAGGTGAACTGTATAACTTTATGACTTCAAGAAAAAAAAAGTTTCTTTCTCACTGTTAAACAGAAAAGGAGAAAAGAATGCAAGGGAGGCCACGCACGCATTATCCGCAGGAAACCCCAGGGCGGCACTCTGCTGGGCGCCTCACAGCAGTCACCCGCTCCATGGACACCGGGACACTGTCACAGGACACTCCCTGGCTCACCTTCAACCCAGCTGGATCCTCTGCCACAGCTGCCTCACCGGGACATGACTCGAGGGATCGGTGCAGCGCATCAATGGCTTCACTTGTGATTTTCCACACGGCCTGAAGGCGATCTTGGTTCGCAGGGCCTGTGTGCAGAGAGGTGTTACCTAAAGCTGTTACAGGTATTGTGTCCTGGCTATAGCTGCAAAGAGGGCAATTCGTTATTTGCCAAATGATGGATTTGGACTAAAAATTTTCTAAATTTTTTAGTTGTAGCCGACATGTAAAATTAGACTAAAAATCCCTGCCTCCAGATTCTCCCAGCCCCACAGACTCCTCTACTCCATTCTGTTTGTTTCTGTTCTGATTTTTAAATCACATAATAAAGGATAACAGAAAGTAAAATGAGAGAGTAAGATAACCTATCATATTTCTGATAGGTTTTCTCCAGCTTTGAAGAGGTGGCAGAGGAAAAGATAATGCCATCAGTATTTTAGAAAGAAAAGATCCCTGGGACTGGGTGTAAGGAAGTCAGCAATAGAAAAGGCCAAGCAAGGTGAGGCTTCGGCAGACAGACAGACTGCCTGGAGTGCACGGCACGAGCGGACTCCCCACACTGGGAAATACTTCATGCTGGTAGCCCACTCACTCTAGAGAACTTCCAGTGAAGTCAGTTAACAAATGCAGGCCCCTCAGCCGATTGCAATTTAGGGATGAAGTATTCAAATAAGAGTTTTCTAGATCAATGATCATTAGCTGTTTAAGTGTTAACATACTACATGCTTTCTGACCTTAATAATCTAATATAACCTAGTTTCTTCTAGGTGACTCCGCCACCATTATGAGTAAGGACGATGCTGTCACACAGTAAGGTTCTCACGGAGGCCATGACTCCTGTGCTGCTTTAACAAGCATGTTTTCTGTCCCCTTCTAGACCACTGCTCTTCAACTTTCTCCCCTACTTCCTTTTCTACCCATCTGCTTTCTTCTCTCCTTTCCCTTTCTTTATGCCTAGCAGTTCTCGTTGGGAGAAAACTGGTTTTAGCTTTGCTGGTCGCTGCCAGCCAGCCTGAGCTCCTGCGTCGTGATCAGCACTCCAACCGATCCTGTTACATGTCTGAGGCTCTCCTTGGGATCTTCATTCTGCAGTTACTTCTAAATTCATCGTGTTTTGGAAAGTTCAGGATGTAAACACTCAGCTACATAGGTTGTTACTGCTCTCGGCGGGTTTATTGGCTATCCGTTCTCGGTCACGTCATTCCTCTGCTCTGCCTTAACACACACACACAGAAAATACAAATGTACCTGCTGGTTTACCTACTTCATTATGCTGTGAGTTCAAGTTTTCACTCACATTTACTAGATGACTCCTATGTGCCAGCCACTGGGCTGACTGATCTAGATCAATGAACAAGGCAGACACAGTGTCTGCCCTCACAAAGATCTAAACAACACTGTGCAAAGCTCAGCTGAGCATCGCAATCTTTCTTACATGGTCAGCTTACAACTCAGGAATGCCTTTTCCCTTACCGTGGGCACAAAGACTTCTACTAGGCAGAATTTTACCTCCTAGGTGTAGCTATTCACAACAGGACCAGGCCCTTGACCTTACCTCTGAAGCACTGACTAGACTGTCCAGCAGCTACCTGGCAGGCAGCCTTCAGTCCTAGAGAACCCAGATGCTGGTGAGCCTGACCCTGCAGGGGTTTGGGTGGCACCAAGTGGGGAGGAGTAGTGGTAGTTTCAGTGAAGTTACTCTGTTGTGGTACTTCAGTGTTATTCTTCTCATCAGCACCTGTTTAAAAAACAAGGAAATAACAGATTAAAGTTCAGAAAAGTAAAGGAATTATATGTGTGAGGTGAGGGCAAGAGAGAGTGGGATAACCACCACTGCAATGAGCTGGGGAAGGCTTCCTAGAGAATGTAGCATTTAAGCAGGTGCATAAAACAATGGGAAAGGGAGTTGAGTCCACAGGAAATAGCAGAAAGCTTCTATAAATTACAGGCGTGACTTAAAAGGAAGCTCAGAAGCAGATAACAGAATGGAAAGGTGAGTGGGTCAACCTTCTTTATCAAGACAACTTCTCGAATGTTTCTTGTAAAGCTCATGCAAACCCCAAGTTCTGGGGCACAGCCCATTTTACCTTGCTCTGGGGAGAGGGCAAGAGCACCGAGTGCTTCCTCCAACTCCTGAATCTGCTTCAACAACTTCTGACCTTTGTCTGGAAGAACCTGAATGTTCACTGATGCCAGTGTGCTCTGCAAAACAATAAAATGGATCGCTCCTCTTGAGTTGTTAGAAAGACAGCTTCAGATTAAAATACCTAAAATGCTAAAACTCTGAAATTATGGTATTTTAACTATATGTATGAAAACCAAAACTTTTTTTTAAACCCAAAAGTCTTACCAATCCTGAAAATATAAATATAGGAAAAGGCAGAAATAAACACCCACCTATAAAACTTTGCTCACATTAACATCTGTAACTCACAGGTGGAGGCCCTATCTGCCCACGGTCAGCGAAGCGCTGACCTTCAGGACAGAGCGCAGGCAGCGCTCACCTTCTTTTGTTTCAGTTGTGTTGTGAGGTATGCACGTTGGGCTGCTGGGTCTGAAGGTTCTACCTTCTTGGGAGCACCTGAGGCGGGAGACATTTTTCTTTGCCCAGTATGACCAGGGAATTGGAGGTTCTCCTTCTTCCGTGAGTCTGAAGTCCTGTCTGAGAGTGAGGGGTACCCAGGCTGAGAGGAAACAAAAATAACATCTTCCTCGCTGTCACTGCTGCTTGTGTCCGATTCTTGCCGAGCTCCCAGGGAAGGCCCTGCAGCCTGTGGCGCAGACTGGGGGGCCGGTGCTTTCGGAGCAGGCACAGGCCGGGCCTCCGCCTGCGCCTGGCAATGCCCCTGGAGCCTCTTCTGGGTGGCCTGCGTGCTCGGGGCATCCTTCGCCTTTGTTTCTCTGGCCTCCCAGCTCTTGGGCTGCTCCTTGCTGAGGTGTCCTGCTCCTGGGGACTTGTTCATTGGCTTCTGGCTGGGAGCAACTTGAGGCAAAGGCTTGGTTTCCTTTTCTCTCACAGGTTCTGATTCTTTTTGAACATGATGACTCTCACCAATCGGTTTCTCCTGATGAGATGCAGATGGTTTTCTCAGCTCATCACCATGGCACGGTTTGGATTTAATCTCAGACAGGTCTCTTTTGTGCGTCCCTTCAACCTTCTTTGCCTCACAGTGAAGCTCTGTCTTCTCCCCTAGTGGTTTCCCTTGACCTACAGCTTTTTTCTTTACCATCAGGCCATGTGAGACATCTTCCTCTGTCTGGCAGTTAGATTCAGGCTTCTGTTCCTTCTTTTGAATTAAGGGCGGGTCTCCCTTTTCACTTTGCTTCTTACCCACCATCTTTTCCTCGCCTTCACCTTTGATGACCTGTTTCCACAGAGATGGTTCTTGATTCTTGTCAAGGACCTTGAACGGGTTTCTCTGCTGAATGGCAGGGTAATGAGATGGCTCAGACACATGCCGAGACTTGCTGGTTACAGAGTGCTCTTTGGAATTAGGATCCTACAGGACACAGAACATAATTTTAACATCAGATATTAATGCAAACTTGATGTCTAGAATGACTTTTTTCCAAGAGGAAATTGAAATAGTAAAAGCAGTCCAACATTTCTGAACATGCCTGGGACCGAATCTGTCTCTAGAAAACACTATAAGCCAAACTCATGAAGTATTTGTTTCTTAACAGCACTTTCAATGCTTGGTCCCTCTTCTGTCCATGATCACTGCTTTCCAGGCCTCAAGGAAATGTAGTGAGGATATCAAAGTGCTTCTCTAATAGCCACAGCTACAACGTATACTTTTCATGAAAAACTGTTGGCTCAAGATGAACTTTTCCCCAAACCAAAATAAGGTCCTACGCTTGATTTGGCTTTAGGAAAGTTTCACTGCAGGAGTCTAGGGTCGTAAGTTTAAGCTATCCCTCCATCAAAACAAGTCTCATCACCTCCCTCAGTCAAGTTTCTCTAGGAAATATCAGTCTATAAAAAGATGCTGAAGTTAGTCAAGTAAATCTAAATTTTTCCTTAAATAGGATAATACTGACTACATATAACATCTCCGAAAATATTTAGGTAAGTGAAATAGGAGACACTTAATCTTGAATATAACTAAATAGTCCTTTGAATTAAAAGTCCCAACAAGAGCTACCTTCCTTAAAAAAAAAAGAACTGTCTTCAGAGACAGCATGATGAAGGCCAACCAGTTTATATTGTACTCCAAAGTCTTTCAGGTGATGCCACAGATTAAACAGTCTTAAAGGAGCAGCTCTGAAAACAGGTGAGTAACTCCTACCCGCCATGGTATACATCCACACCATTGCTTCTTCTCGGCCTTACTTCCAATGCATCGGAAGACCAATCTAATGAAGTATAAAACACAAATAACCAAGGCTGTGAAAATCCATTAAAACAATAGATAAACTGGTTTTTAATCCAAGAAAGCATTTTACAACTACTTGATATTGGTTTTGAAAGGTCACTTGAAACCAATTACTCTTATATATGTACCTTTAAAAATTCTCTGTTGCACAGGATATTGTACCAGGCTGAAAAGTGAAAGAATTGAGATGTCATGGTAACCAGAGGGTATGCACTGGTTTATTTTTACTCTGTAGAGAGTGACTGCAATGAAGACACTGAATAGCAGTGGCTGCTAAAATCAGAAAGAGATATCCAGACAGTATGTGTCTCTGATGAGAAGCCATAATACTACCTATAAAGTTAAAAACAAAACAAACAAACAAAAAAAACAAGCCAAACCAAACCAAAACAACTAAGTTGAATCTGGTCAAACCTCTAGATCCAACAGGCAGGCAATTCCATGTATGGTCTCTTTATTTTTAACTATGCCTCGACTTTTGTTCATAAAGCTAACTAAGTGCTGAATTAAATAGAACCAATCGATTTTTTTCCTTAATTAAAAGAACTCCCCAAAGACTTTTAATCAGTTAAATAAAAGCTTTAAAAATATATGTTTTGCCCTGGCCGGGTGGCTCAGTTTCTTGGAGCGTCGTCCATACGCAAAAATGTTGCGGGTTCAATTCCAGGTCAGGGCACATTCCTAGGCTGCAGGTTGGATCCCGGTGGGGGTGAGAACAGGGGCAACCGATTGATGTTTCTCACATCGATGCTTCTCTTTCTCTCTCCCTTCCTCTTTCTGTAAAATCAATAAAAACAAACAAACAAAAAACATATCCTCGGGTGAGGATTAAAAAATATATATTTTTTTATTTAATTGCTTAAACAGGTAATATATTCTATCAAAAACTATAAAATGGCAACGAAAAGCACCCCCTCACCATTCTCTATGTTTTAAATACTTTTTTTTTTACAGTTTAGTACACAACTAACTACACATATGCTATACACAGTGCTAAAAACAGTTTTACCTACATTTTTATTAAAATCAATCTGGAGGGGCTTGTTTTTATTTAGATTAAAAGCTGGCTATGTTTATTAAATCGTAAATTAACAAAGAAAGCAGCAGAACTATATTCTCACAGAGAAAGCCAATATTGAATCCCCTATAAGAATGTAATTTCTGTCATTAACCTACATCATCATTATTGGGCTAGACAATCTGTACGCCAATTTTACCCAAAAAGTAACCACACAACGAATTTCCTAGAAGTGCAGAAGTTCAAGTGTTATTAAAAATAAAGTATTTTGAGCCCTAGCCAGTCTGGCTCAGTGGTTAGAGTGTCAGCCTGCAGACTGAAAGGTTCCAGGTTCGATTTTGGCCAAGGGCACCTACCTCAGTTGCAGGCTCGATCCCTGGCCCCGATCAAGGCGTGTGTGGGAGGCAACCGATAGATGTGTCTCTCTCACATCGATCTCACCCCTTCCCCCTTTCACTCTCTCCAAAAAAGCAATGGAAAAAATATCCTCAGGTGAGGGTTGGTTTTTTTTTAAATATATCTTTATTGATTTCAGAGAGAGGAAAGGAGAGGGAGAGAGATAGAAACATCAATGATGAGAGAGTCATTGATCGGCTGCCCCCTGCACGCCCCTGACTGGGGATCAAGCCCTGACCGGGAATCGAACCCCGACTACCTGGATCCTAGGTCGACACTCAAAGGCTGAGCCATGCCTGGCCGGCTCGGGTGAGGATTTTAAATAAATAAATAAAATATTTTGAACATACCACTATAATTAGTTATTTAAAGAACTAAAACTTATATTGCTATTTATAGGCTAAAGAATATTTCCACCCATTTTGACCCCATATCCTCGAGAATAAAAAGGAAAGGGGCTGGGGGCAGGAAGAGAAAAAAAAGAGAACATGACTCAGGAGCTCAATGCCAAGGTCCCACATTTGTAGATAAGGTGTGCCACTTTTTTGAGGTAAGCCACTCATGTCAAGGCAAGAGCTCCCCTCTCCTGTTCTACAGACTGTCAGAGCTTCCCTCCCTCAAGCCCAGCAGCGGGCGAGGGCTGGAGGGCCAGTCAGATCCTGGCGAGGGGCACCACCTGGTGTTTACGTTGGAGAACTGCACACAAGCGCAGCTAAACTCCAAGTATGAAAGGGCATCTTAGCCTCAACTTGGTTCCCACCTACCCTCCACTACTCGGCTGCACCTGTCCCCTATTTAGGTTAAGCTTTAACCCTTTGCGGTCGTTTGTCTACTCTCAGCCACCACAGCAAGGAACTGTACGAATCTTAACTCCATTCAAGTATCAGTTCATAATTTCTCGTTTATCCTTCATAATCTTGCATGTTATGTATCACTGCTATTTCAATGGAAATTAATTCCGACCAGTACAACACCCATGTCCAAATTTAATACGACCGCAAAGGGTTAAACATAAGAGTATTAATTCGGGGATATAAAGTGCCTAAGTTTGGGGAAAGGAAAGGCTGTATCGCTCGAGGTCATCTTCCAGAGTACAGGAGTTCTGGCTAAATGTGCTACTGTCTGCGAAGGAAGTCATCATCCACAGGATTATTAAGCAAAAGAGTAAAACAGGCAGTATTCAGGTAAGTAAAAACTGCACTTGAATGCTTCTATTTTGGGGGGGGGTCAATTTAGAATATATAAATTTCAAACTGCATAGAATATCCTACAGACCGTCACATCTGGCCCCTGCCTTCCCGGCCAGCCTTATCTTCTGAAGTCTCTACTCAAACATATGCTAAACTATTAGAGAATCAAATGCTTATAATTCCCTGTTACTTCATGCCTCTGTACCCTAACACAGGATACTAATCAGTTAAATGGCCCCTTTCTTGCTCCTTGTGAATTATTACTTACCTTTCAATACTCATGACAAATACCATCTGTCATCTATATAGACTTTCCTGCCCTTCTTCTGAGTTCCCATAAAAAGGGCAACTAACATTTATTGAGTATTTAACATATATTAGACATTTTTACACATTACCTCATTCTACTGCCAGAATAAGAAAGTTGACAAGTCAGTGCATGTTAATGACTGTTGCTGGGCTGGTGTTATTGGCTACTTAATAGCTGAAGGGGAACAAAGGTGGAGCAGTTTAATCCTGAAATTTTGCTCAGCAGTGAGGGAGTGACAGCTCAGAAGATATTCAATACATATTAAAAAAATGGTTTGGGTTTTTCATAATGAGTATTAAATAACTGTCAATTCTATGAAAACATAGCTGGCTCTAACTCTTCCAGGCAAGAAAAATAAAAAAGCAAATATACTTAGATATTCCTTTTGGACACTTACCTATATTCTTTTGTGCTCTGTTGTGGAAGTAAGCCCTGAAGCTCCACCACAACACCCTCATGCAATAAACAATGAGAGACAGGAACACTAGAGGAACAAAGTTGAAATTTTGTTTTAGGAGGCAAAGAATAGAAGTTAACATCCTAAAATTAAACCCAAACTATGGGTTTTAAACTTAAGAGTCCATGTATGACCTCCACTGAGTTTACATTTTTCTCTATGTACACTCCCCTGGGGAAAGGGCCCACAGCTTTCATCTCTTCCACTCCCCCAAATAATGCATGACAGTTAAGTATTTTTTTTCTGAGGACTCAAAAATTTAAAACTATACCCCAGGAATGCCTGGAGTATCTAAGACTGGCTACACTTTCCGCTGGTTCTTCCACCATCCTTTTTCCTCTAATAACCTGTTTGCTGTCACTAAGCGTTGTTCATACCCCTACTGTAGCAACACCCCCCAATTTGTTCATGCCTTGCATAAACTTAACTCTTCCAACTTCTTATGAGACTTTGACATTTGAGAGTAAATAGGATTAAGGGAAATACTTTACTTTCCTATGACCTGCAGCACTCTTTATTTTGCTTATATTCTGGTTACCAGACATAACCCAAATAGATGAAGTTTATCAAATTACTGTCTTCAAGTCAAGTATTATTGTACTAGTTTGTACAGCAGTATGTTTGTATAAATGGCAGTCTGAGGGTATGTACCTTTTAATTTAAAACCGAGTCTCATGCTACCATTAGTGCTTAATTCCTACTAATATGAATATGCTTTCATGTTTCATGAACCCTGAGCTAGATAGAGAACCTAAGAAGCTCAGTATAGATATTAGAAATAGTAAACCCTAACATAGTATGCTGTTGATAGTTTATTTTTGGTTGGTCCCTTCTATCTCAAGATTTCACAGTTTTACTCAAAATCATTTTATATTTAATTAAACTGGATTCCAGGAATTTCTTTCAAATTAAAAAACTTACTAGAGGGCTAAGAGAGTATTTTCTCGGAAAAGTTAACATACATGTTGAAAAAATACTTTATTTTCTAGTTGATATCCACTATGTGCTTTACATGGTATGGAGAAAAGCTATTTTTCTTTACCAAGTTTAGTAGAGAGGCGGAAAAAATGTTTAATGATGTGATAGTTTTCAAGTTCACTAGAGTCTGTGGACAGCTGGCACTGCAAAACATGAACACTCTGAGGACAGTATCAACTTTTTTCACTTTAAAGGAGATGCTTAACATTTCTGAGTCTCAGCTTCCCATTTTGTAAAACAAGAGTGCTGAGTAACTTGTTTCTTTGGATTATTATTATTATCAGCGCCTAAATGAGGAGAATACTGTTTTTAGATAGGGCCAGAGAGGGTATTTTAACCTCAAACACTTAAAAACCAGATTGGCCTAAAACTAGTACAAAACAAGTATTTTCTACTCTGCCTGTAGGTTCTCATTTAAATGGGGCTGCAGGCCTAAGGTCCCTGACAACCTCAGTCCAAAACTCCCATCCTGGTGCAGAACAGAAACAGGAACTTGGAAACCTACAAGCCACAAAGTGACCACAAGCCCCTACCGAACCACAAACGACCAACGAGAACACCTGTACCTGACTCCAGGAACGGCAGAAAGAACAGGGACAGAACAAACAAGATTGATTCTTGCCCGGCTGGTGTGGCTCAGTAGTTGAGCATCCACCTATGACCCAGGAGATCCAGGTTCGATTCCTGGTGAGGGCACATGCCTGGGTTGCGGGCTCGATCCCCAGTCGGGGGCGTGCAGGAGGCAGCCCATCAATGACTCTCTCATCACTGATGTTTCTCTCTCTCTCTGTCCCTGTCCCTTCCACCCTCTGAAATCAATAAAGACATATTTTTAAAAATAAATAAAAGACTGATTCTTTACCCAACTCCCTACTCCCACTGTCTGAGCCCTATAAAAAACTGTCTACCTCCTCGAGGGTGGTGACTGCCCATTGAGTCTCATCCCACCTGCACCCAGATGGTTTTCAATAAATCTGTTTTTAACTCTCAACAAGCCCCTAGGTCTCTCCCTTGGCAAATCCCCCCAACAGCGGGGGGTGGTTGGGGGGGATGTCCAAGTTGTCTAGGCCTGATAAATAAATAGAAAACTAGGGCTGGAAAGGACCAGAAGGATCCAGGCGTAGCTCAGCCTCTATTATACAGCTCTCGGTGGCCCAGACAGGGCAAGTAACCAGCCTCGGGTCACACAGCAGCGGGGCGTCTCCCCAACGCCTCCTTGGGTCCTAGGATCACCAACTACTTGAAGGGCGCTGGCTCCGCAGAGCAGGGCCGCAGCGCCCCGCGCGGTCACGGGGAGCGGGGCCCAGCTCGGGACCTACTCGGTGGGCCGCACGAAGGTGCACGCGTCCGCCCCGCACACATAGAAGCTCTTTCCTTTATTCGGACCCTCGCGGACGCCGGTCTTCAGAAAGCAGATGGTCCCTAAGGAGAGGCCGACAACAATTACGCCACGACAGGGGGACAGACCGCCCCCCGCAGGGGACCCTAGGACCCCAGCCCCTCACCGTGCTCCGGACACCTAACCAATTCCATCGCGCTCCTTCCGGTTTTTCCCGGGAGGTCTCGCGGCACAACCTGCTTCCGCTTTTTTTCTGCCGTCCTCAGGAATCAATCATCACCCGCCTCCCGGAGTCTTAACTCCCACAATTCACCGCCGTGGCACGATCAGCCAATCATACGGGAGGTTCGCTCACCTCCAACCAATCATAGCCGCCCTAAGGCTAGGCGCGCGCCGAAATCAAATAAGACCAGGCTGAGCGGCTTGGGAGCCCGGGCATTTGGCTGGGGGGCGTGGCTGACGCTGGGGGCGTGGCTTATGGGTGGGCTGGGCTTTCCCGGGAAAGGCGGGGCTTCGCTTCGCAGGTCCTGGAAGGGCACCGGGTGCGACTGAGATCCGGGGGATCCCGGTCCCTGCTGAGGACCCGGAGGCGGCCCTAGAGGAAACTGGGGTTTGCCTACTGCCGAGGTGGGATGCAGGGGATGGGGGCGTCCTTTACATCTGCGCGGGGAACGGACAGGTCTGTCACCGAGCGAGCATCAGGGACCCCACAGCGGTCCTTTAGATTTTCATAGCGCTTCAGACCCCGCCCAGCGCCCACGCGGAGGACCTGCGGGGGGTGCTCGGGGGGCCGCTCGCTGCCCCGGTGTGCACCGAATGACCTCTAGACGCCCGCAGCGTGGGAGCCCCGGGATTACCTTCGGGGAAGCGGAACTTTACTTTTGTATTTTTGTTCGCCAAGGTTTTTTCTGCTAGTGTTTATGCTCTGGTAATATTAAAAATCGAGGGTGAAATTAAATGAAAGGGGACTGTATTTGAAATCATAATCCGATCTAGTAGTTAAACAGGGAGGAATAGAAATCAGACTTATTGCAAGAGAGGGGGCTTCGTGTTACAGCTATTGGGGACCCTACGGCCAGACATACGGTGCTACTGTCCTTAGTGGGGACCGTAGGACAGAAACCCTGTAATGTCTAGGAAACCTGGGCTACATGATCAATGCAAATGTCATAGGGGCCTGGAAGAGGGAAGGCAAACCTGGAGTATCATTTATTAATTAAACAAGTACGTATTAAATAGCTTTTTGTGTGCCCAGTGTGGACTGGGTGCTTGCGAAATGTAGAATTCATTTGCTCACACACACACACAGTTTATAATAACTATTCTAAGCACAAGGAGCTTAATATCTGGTAGGGACTGAACACTTCAATAACAACATAAAATAGTACTTAAATGTGATGATAAGTGGAATTAGCAGGAAACTCTGTAAGTCTAGATAAAGATGTGCCTAGAACCAAAGTGGAGTTAGTTTATATATAACTACCCCTCTGAAACACCTGCAGATGATTTTAGAAATAAGACAGGAGCAAAAACAAATAAGTAAATAGAGGCATTTTCATTATGCCCAGATTATAATTCTTGCACTGAGATTTTTAGGTACATACTTAACAGATGCTGTATTGGGAGAAGCAGGCCATGAATACTGGGTTTGCAGGAAGAGGGGCATGGTAATTTGATTATTGAAACAAGACAAAATCAGGGCCTCTTTAAATATCCCTTTAGGAAGAAGCTCTTCCTCTGCAAGTTTTCCAGCCGGTATCTCAGGTCCAACCCCATGAAAGTGCTCACAGCCAGATCACAGGAAGGGGGACTATTTCAGCCATAAATATGTGATATACTAGATCAAAATGTTTAGGCTCTAAATGGGGGCATCTGCAATAGTGTCAATAAAAATCAAGGGGGGGAAATGGTTAGGTTCTGGACAGTTTATCCCACCTAGTCATATGCATCAGGGTGAAAAAACAAGTTTGTCACTGGGTGAAGTGTGGCCATAATAGCGCCATAAACTATAATGAATGATACAATATACGCTTTTCAAAATATACACATACATTAGGGTATGTGTATTAACTTTGATTATTTATTCACATTTTTAACTTATATCCTTAAATAGCCTGCAGGCCTGTGCAGAGACCATTGAGGAATGTGCTTTATGGACCTCTATTTTGAGTCAAATTGAGAGTGTGAGTTGTTTTTTCTTTAGAGCATGATTTATTCAAAATGAATGCCTAGGCGAGGTCCTAGAGCTAGATGGTTTAAATGCACAGGTTAATGATCCAATAAATTCTTTCCATATGGGGCTGGTGAAATGCAAAGTATGTGATGGGTTTGCTCTAAAACTGGATTGTGGTAATGGCTGCACAGCTATATAAATTTACTAAGACTCAGAACACTTAAAATAGGTGAATTCGGTGGTATCTAAATTATCCCTCAATAAAAGCTGTACAAAACAAAGAAACAAAAGATACAATGTTTAAGCCATGTCAAAACGTCCCCATGGAAAATAAGAGCTAAGATTAATTAAGCTATTTTGACACCCTAGGAAAATAAAATGGTGATGAAATAAAATAGTAGAAACTGTTCCATTTCAGACACTGTAGCTCCTTAAGCAGACTGGTCCTCCAACCTGTGAAATGAAATCCAGAGTCATTCAAACACTCATTTTAATTCTTGGGAAAATGAAAGAAACGTATTTTCTCTGGTCAGCATTGTGGTGGCTGGCACATGTCAGGCACCTAGAAGATATTAGTGGTAAGAGGCTCAGCTAGACCAGTTTCCCCTTGACATCCCTGTCATTACCTGTATTGTTTAAAAATAATCAGCAATGCCAAGTTTCGAGTTATTTGTAAAATTCCAACTTCTATGCAACCTTTATCTTTACTCCTTATTTTAAAAAAATGTGTTTTCCAAGTAATAGGTAAACCTAAGTGTGTTTAGTTTTCTGGATTTTGCTCATTGCTTTGGGATGGGGTGGGGAAGGGTAACTAATTTTAAATAGTAAAGAATTTTTTCCTGTGAGAAACATTGTTAATATAGGGAAACATCATTATAGGCTAACTTTTTCCGAGGTGTATTCTAAGTGCTTTTGCATGCACCCTCAGTTCTCACAGCTACCCTGGAAGTGGGTATTCTCTTATTTCCATTTTAAAGCACAAGATTCCAAAATTTAGAGTCCTTTGGAGCTTGCCCCAAGGCCCTGCTTCTAACAATTACCTTATAGAGCCTCTCCTTGGATTTTGGAATCAGATTAATCTTTTCCTGGCTCAAATCACAAAGCTGACACCAGCAGATGAAGACAGGAAGCCATTTCTGGAGATTCCCCATCCAGCTCTTGCTACTGTAGTATGTTTACGAAGCATAAGTTATTCAGTGATTCACTCAGATATTTCACCTGCCCCTGGCCAAGCATTCAGATACGGGTAGTATCCAGACCTGGCCTAACAAATCCAAGAAAAAAAAAACACCACAAAAAAACAAAGTCCTGCCATTTTATAAGTGATCACTGGGTGGCAGCATATTAACATAAAAACCCTACCGAGGGCCCTCCTCTCGGGCGGTTTCATTCGTTTTGCTTAACACTGTGCTATAGTAATTCAATTTCATTTCATCCTGTGCCTTTCAAAAAAAAAACCCGACCATTTTAAACTTGTCCTTTAACGAAGGCACAGTCGAGATGATACTATACTAAGAACAAATCTGGTTATAATTTGAAAACACAAGAGAGTTTACAAATTCTTCCGTCGTACCTGAATTTTGCAATATCAGCTTCCGCATGTCAGTGGTGTTAAAACTGTACCCCTAATAACAGCCCCAGCCCAAGGCAACCGCTGACCTGCTTTCTGTCTTGAGAAATTTGTCTTCTTTGAATGTTTCATATAAATGGAGTCACACCATACGTAGTCTATTGCCTCTTTCTGTTTTCTTTCCCTTAACTTGTCGATTATAAGTGTAGTTGCCCAGAGAGCAGGGCCTTGTTTCTGTTTTGCTTGCCACTCACTATGTACACAGCGCATAGAAATTCAATACATATCTGCTAAATGAAATAAACCACAGAGTGGAAGGGACCCTCGAGTCACCTAGTATGCCCTCTGAATCTTTTCCGCATCATGCCTAATGGATTCGGCGTAGAAACCTCTGGTCACAGCAAATTCTCTGTCTGGGTGTCTCAAAATGTCCATTAATTCTAATGTATATTGAGTGGAAATCTGTCTTTCTGTCTGAAACTTCCACCTACTTGTCATCTGGAGGTACACAGAACACACTTAATTCATTTTAATGTCACTTTCAAGCATTTTAATGTGGCCATCTCACCCCCCCACACACACACACTCCTCTGTTCAATTACATCTCTCTCCCCCAGAGCCCCTCACCAGCATTTTCCAACGAGCATGTGCCTAATGTGAGGGACCTCAAATAGGACTCAATATGAAGAATACTGCGGAATAATTGTCACCTTTATTTTAGCTATGCCCGCTCTGTATAAGCACTATAAAGCTGCAAACATTTTCCCTCTTTTCTAACAAACGTGCCGTGCTAGTGAGGGATTTTCATCGAGCGTGCAATCAACCAAAACCCCTGCTCTCACGTTTCCCACGTGAACTCAAGTCTCCCTCACCTGCTGCACCTCACTGCTTGAGCTATGGCTTCTATCTTTCCTCTCGTGAGTGCTGATCCATCATTCTAACCTGTCTCGATCTCTTGGAGCCTCGTTCCCGTCGGCTGGCTCATGAATGCCACCTCCTGACTCTGTGCCAACTGCACCCCCGACAAGCCTGCTCCCTTTGACTTCAAGGTGCCGGTGAAAATGCTGAACAAGGCACTTGAGCGCAACCCGGAGACATCTCCGGGTACACGTGACCCCTTAGTCGTCACGCTGTGGGCACGGTCCCTTAGTCGGGCAGGGAGCCCCATAAATGCCACACTGTTTCCTCTTGTCCAGGTGCCCGCTGCAGCTCCTGCCCGCTCTGTGTGACCATCCCTGGATTCCCGGGCCTGCAGGGCGAGCAGAGAGGAAGCGAGGTTAGTCTGGGGGAGGCTTTTCTTGGTAAACAGGACACGAAGCAGCCTAGAGGCCCAGGGGGAGGCGGCTCTTCAGGGCGACGGCTGCCGCCTTCCGCTAGGCTACTGATTCGTTGGGTCACACCATCTCCTGTCTGGCCAACCTGCCACCTCCTTGCTGTCCCCCCTGGTCCCCTTGGGGTGCCCGTGGGTTTGGATGGAGGCTCAGTGAGGGATTTGCTGCAGGGCATTGGTGAGAGGAGTGAAGGAGGCCCCTGCTGAAGACGAGGCAGCCTTCCCGGGGGCCAGGCAGCCCCTGTGGAAGGTCCGGCCGCCCCAGCTCTTCAGCTCCTCTTTAGCACTTTCCCACCCTCCCTTTCCCGGCCCGCCTGCCTCACCCTAAGCAGGAGCTGCGGACGAGCGCGTTCCTCCTCCAGTGCCCCCCGACGGCAGGCCTCGCCCCAGCCTCTCCGTCAGCCAGCGGGTGCCTCCCGAAGCCACCTGGTGCGGGCATGGGACACGGACACGCATCTGTGTCCTTGAGCAGAGCTCGGGTGGGGGAGGGGCTGTGCGTTTCTTCTTTCTGTGGTTTGTTGGCTTTTATTTCTGCTTTCTCACTCCTATGTGCTAATTGCCCCTTTCGTCTCCCCAATTCCTCTTTTTCTCTTGCTTCCCACGCAACCCCTCCTTTGGCCCAGGGGAGACAAAAGCAGCCTTAGTGACGGTCGTGGAGGAGGCGGCCCCCAGGTTCCTCCAGCCCCCGCCCCCCTCGAGCTCCGCCTGCATGTTTAAGCAATCCCTTTTCATCCCTAAACTTTTCTCATGACACCATTCCTGCGACTTTAGTAGTCACCCATTTCTGATGGAAGAGCTGGACCACGGCTAAGCGGTGGGGGGGGTCTGCTCATGGCTCGCTTGAATGGTTTTGCTTTTAAGTTGTGTACCCTCCCCAAGTGCTATGGACTGAATTCTGTTCCCCCAAATCTACCTGTTGAAGCTTTACTTCCCAATGTGATAGTATTTGGAGATGGGGTCTTTGAGAGATAATTAGGGTTGGATATGGCCGTGAGGGTGTGTCTCTCATGATAGGATCGGTGCCCTTGTAGGAAGAGAAACCTCTCCCCTCCCTCCCTCCCTCCCTCTCTCTCTCTGTCACCTGAGGATGCATCTGAAAGTTGGCAGTGTGTAAGCTGGGATGAGGGCCCTCATCAGTCAACTGGGACTTTCCAGCCTCCAGAACTGTGACAAAGTAAATTTCTGTTGTTTAAGCCACCCAGTCTATGGCATTTTGTTATGGCAGTCTGAGCAGACTAATACAAATTCCCAAGCTAATTATTTGCACTCAAATCTGCATGTAAATTGAATTAGCTAATTAATACAGGTATAAAGTACCTCAGGATAGGAGTCCCTAGTGATTGCATTTCCCTATATTTCTATATCTCCATTTGGAACTCCTGGATTAAACTATCTTGGCTTCTCCTTTGACTGTAAAGCACTCCGACAATGGTATCCAAATGGCCCTCTGTCCACACTGCCTTGAAATCCTGACTCTTTCTGAAACGGCGCACTTCTTTCTCTAAATTAGGGGACCCCAGCAGTGGCCCCATTTCGTGGCCCAGCCCGGGCTTGCCTTTCATTCCCTTGCCGTCCTCCCTCCACTGCTGCGTGAAGAATTAGATAGTAAAATGCAGCTCTCCGGTTTCCTTTTCAGGAGTCGAAAGGATTCGAGCGGCCTGCTGGCCAATAATGATGATGAAATCTAACACGTATGGCTTCTCCTTCACAGGACTATCTCGTATAATCCTTGCACCAAACCCTATGACGTACTGGGTATTATTCTCATTTTATGGATGAGGGAATTGAGGTCGAGAGAGATCAACTGGTGAAGACCACAGAGCCAGTGAGTGATGTCAGGATCTGAACCCGGGCCGTCCAAATCCAGAGCTCACATTCCTGACTATGAAGTTACCGAAGTATTCACTGGGCACGTCATTTGAAAGGAGCCAAAAGTCAGAGTGGAAGACCCGAGGAGGGAGCAGTTGGCAGCCTCAATTTTATCTCACTGCAGCTTATTTCTTAGGAGGGCTCAAATGTGGGCTGTGCTTTGTGTGTGGACAGATTACTAAGTATCACAGTTGCCATTTAGCCTTCAGTTGCCAGGTGGAAGTCTCGGTTTGCTGCATTTGAATGACCCATACCTGATGCTACACCAAATACTCCCTCCATCAGGAAACAGATTCAGGGGAGGAATTTATGTGTGTGTGTGTGTGTGTGTGTGTGTGAGGAGCCGATGTTGGACAGAGCTGGTAGCCCTTCTTCAATACTGAGGCCGACTCCAGCCCCTTCGGGCACCTGCAGCGCTGCTCCGTGTTCTGCTTCGGTCGCAGCGCTTTCTTGCACACGGCATCCCCATGTGTCGCATGTATGGCTAGAAGGTATTTGGCCCCCACTTAGGGAATAAAGGCCATTTTGCATCAGCGCCCTTTAATCGGCCTGGTCATGTATCGTCTATTGAGAACAGAAGATTCTCAAACAATGTCCTGCTGCCAGCAGAGTGATACAAAGAGCTGCTGTAGACAGACTGTTAAACAACACAACCATTCCCTAAAGACAGACTTGAAAACTTGTAGCATCCGCGTTCAGTCGTGAGAGACGGTAACAAAAACATGCTCTTGTGTATCTATTTCAACACCGACTGCACCAACATGCACCGGGCTGCATGGAAATCTGGGCCCCAGGGCAGGGTGCAAAGGGGCTCCCTGCTCCTCCAGTCCCAGTTCTTTCCCGCTTTTTAGAGCAAACTGGCACTTAGAGAGCATGTGACCAAACAAGCACCTGTCACCCTTTCCTGTCCCAGTGGTCCTCTCATTACCTTGTGTGCAGAGATCCTTGCTCGTAATGAGATGGCGGCATCTTTCATAAGCATAGAAAGAGTGTTGCTTCTGGAGTCAGTGCAGCTGGGCCTACGCACTGCCTCTGCCACTTAATGATGGGTGACGGCTGGTGTGTGGTTTAATCTCAGCTTCTTCCCGGGACTGTCATAGGATTCAATCCTCACAGCACACGATGGCTGCTCAGTAGAGTCAGTACCAACTCCGTTCTCGCTTCCTCTTGAGGGAATGGATGATGTCGGTCACTTCTGCACACCTAGCTCCTAGCGGACGTCTTGGCACCTGCTCAGTATCAGAAGGTGCTTGTGGAATAAATTAATCATATTCTCTCTTACACATTAAAATCCCTCACTCTGCCCGGCCGGGCGTGGCTCAGCGGTTGAACTTCGACCTAGGATCCAGGCGATTGGGGTTCGATTCCCGGTCAGGGCACATGCCCGGGTCGCGGGCGCGATCAATGACTCTCTCATCACTGATGTTTCTATCTCTCTCCCTTCCTCTCTCTGAAATCAATAAAGATATATGTAAAATAAAATAAAAAAGAAATTATTATGGCACGTGACTTTCTACCACTGCATTCACCTGCTGCCATAAGCCAGTTGTTCCTACAGATGTCTCAGTAGACTAAAGGCAATGAAAGGAGCCTAGCCCAGCCACGCCTTAGTCATCTCTGTGCAACCTGGTCCTGTACAGAGCAAGTATTCAGCAGGATGGTGCGGAGTTTCCATCTCGAGCAGGAGTGTGGTGGAGGGGATCCACCTTCAGAGCTGCTGGGCTAGACACCAACACGGAAGGAAGCCTTAGATTATTTATTAATCAGATCCATAACCGGGACAGATAAGTCAAATCAAGTTTCCCAGGAACGCAATACATGGTGAAGACAGACAGAACATTAGCCACTGAAAGAGAGCAGGGTTGGCAAACATTTTCCATAAAGAGCCACACAGCAAACACCGCGGGCTTTGCGGGCCCTGCGGTCTCTACGGCAACTGCTTGACTCCACCATTTTGCCATGACAGCGGCCACAGAGAACACGTGGGCGAATCTGGATTCCAACAAATTGGATTTTAAAAAAAACAACAGGGGATGGGCTGTGTTTTGCCTGTGGGGCACAGGTGGTCAACTCCTGGGGCAGAGGTTTGTCCTGTGGCCAAAGAGACTCTATAACACAAGACAGTAAAGAAAAACCAGGTGGTGACCCAGAATGGAAAAGCTGGAATCAGTGAGTAAAAGCAAAGTCCTCCGTTAAGTTTTAAGAACTAAAATGAACAAGTCCACAACTGGGGCGAGGAGAAGTTTCATGTCAAA